GTTCTTCACTAAGTAGGGAAAATGTCCCATGGATCTGCTGTGACATCACAACCAGGAAGTCCGTTTTTGCCAGGTGAATTTGCTTTAGCAGATTCAGGAGGCAGCAGAGAGAGAAGGAAATTCAGGAGTCAGCAGAGAGAGGAGGAAATTGGCAACCTTCCTTGTTTGCAACTTGTCGAGTTAGCTCTGCTGTATCTATCTAGATTTGCAAGAGGCACAGCTATATCAGAGCTGGCTTAACAAGCTGCAAACAAGGCTGATTGATCATTTCCTCCTCTATCTCTGCTGACTCCTCACTGTCTTTTTTTATATTTGATCTCCTAGGTGGCCTAAGCCTAGGACACCATGCCTTTAGGAAAGGAAGAAGAAAACAATAGGGAAGGGGAAGGGGAATGGAAAACAAGCAGACCTAAACACCAGGTTTGGAAAGGAGAGGATTCAAACAGCAGCCAGTTTTCCCACTGCCTTGCTTCTCTCACTGTTGCTTTAGTTGGGTGGAATTTATTTGAATAGAATGACTACAGATGCCTCCACGTTGGCTCAAGGGATCACATTTCCTGAACCAATGCAAGCACATCTGCTATTTTTTAAAAAAGTAGAAGCCCCAGTGGCAGAAGGGGAATAATAGAAGGTGGGGAAACTTGGGTTGATTCACATTAACTTACATGTCGTGTAGTCAAAGGAAAATAATGTGACTCAGACCATTCAAATCCTGGAGCATTTCCCACATTAGTTGTCATTGTTGTTGTTGTTTAGTCGTTAAGTCCTGTCCGACTCTTTATGACCCCATGGACCAGAGCACGCCAGGCCCTCCTGTCTTCAACTGCTTCCCGGAGTTGGGGCAAATTTCTGTTGGTAGCTTCTATGACACTGTCCAGCCATCTTATCCTCTGTCACCCCCTTCTCCTCTTGCCTTCACACTTTCCCAACATCAGGGTCTACAATTTGTCATTGTAGTTGCACACTAAGAGTAATATGTCAGCCTTGTGGACCTTTGCACACATCATGAGCATGGTTCCTTCCATTTTACCCTCTACTAAAATATCATGAGCATTAGATGGGGGGTGGGAGAGGAGGCATGACATTTCAAGTTCTGTTTCTTTCTAATGTTCACTTGCTCTCACCAGTTCCATTGATCAGCTTTCAGCCTTAACTATAAAATACCCCTTCCCATCAGGTTTACCCTGGAACACCAGAGCTACAGGCTACCAAGAATGCAAGTTATAGGACCTCTGGTCATATGAATACATTGCAGCAGAAATACATTCAACTTATTTCAAGACACTTTCAGTTCTTTCTTTTATTTACACTTTGTTATCATTTGTAAAACATTGCCAGGAATGTTATGGTACAGTGACTTTGCTCCGCCAGAGAGATGGCTCATTGTTTTGCAATGCCTTTAGTAAACTATTGCTTAAGACTCATTTTTAAAAGCATTTTCATTTCCAGAGCTCCTTTTCCCAAATAGTCCTTAATTATTTTTACACACTGAACGCAATGTTTTGTATCTTGACACCAGCATCTCCTGCACCGGTCTGCCATTCACAAAAGTTTATGCTGTGACAAATTTTCAGAGGTGGAAAATTACTTTTTGGGGGGATATTGATCTCAGAACATGCCCAACTTCCCTCCCCCCGCCCCATCACTGCAAACTTGTTTAGCCGTTAAATTTTTCCCCTTTACACTTGTGACTTTGGCCTGACACGGGATACACCTTCTTGCCTACACAAACAAATCAGCAGACTTCTCCTTCTACTGCTCCCCTCAGATGACCACAAAAGCCATTTCCTTTGCTAGGAATTATGCGTGAGGCCGTCCTTAAGAAGGAACAATAGTCACACCTTTTTCTACAAACTGACTCAAATCCCATCGCATTGGTAATGCGGGCATTTGGAAGCTAAGCCCAGGCTGGCAGTGGGAATCCCACTCGCTCTTAATGGGATTGACCTTCTTATTAAGCAAGATAAATAGCTTCATGTTGTCCGAAGATGCGTCTTAAGAGCTGCTCAAGGTTTCCTCAGGTGAAGAGGCAGTGGGTTTCTGTCTGATACTCCCATGGGAGAGCGAAAAAGTAAGATAGTGGCATTGACTTAAGAACTAGAAGCAGGTAGTTCACCAAAAAAAGCAGGGGAAGAATTCAGAGGAGCCATCTTACTGGAGAAATCAGTTCCATTGAGGACATGATTGAGGACATATCAATACTGCATCTCCTTATGGAACATGAGGTGATTGGAGAGATGTAAGAACTATGTTCCGTTGAGGGCCTTTGAACGCCGTTTTCCAAATACTGCACTTCCCAGAAGGAACACAGAACCAAATAAAAGTTGCATTCAGGGACACATACAATTCTAGCCTTGCAATATACTATGTGAAAGAAAGATTTTAAAAATCCATCTGAAAACACAGAAAATTTTGAAAAATGTATGTGTGTGGGGGATTAATACCAAACTTTTTGAAAATGTTTGCAAATGTATCACAGTTCGTGAAGACCGACGTTCTCTGTTGCATGCAAAAATAGGTACACATGTTATGCCATTTCTAACAATAAAAAGCAAATATATATATATATATATTTGCTTATATATGTATGTATGCATATATATGTGTGTGTGTGTGTACATATTTTTGCACATATATGTATACTTGTTATTGTTAGAAATGGCATGGAATGGACTTGAAACTGGGGGACAAAGAGAAAAGTTTATGTAAAGGCAGTTGAAAGATCTGCCCATTCCTAGAGGTAGTATCACCAAGTTTTGGGTTTCTTCGTGAAACATTCAGTCTCCTGCTTCATCATGGAAGCTACCTGTCAAGCCTCGGGCCACTCAGTGTAAGAATGTAATAAATTCAGATTTTCTCATTTTTGATTCAAAGTAGCTGAATGGATAGCTCAGTCAGTTAGGTTGGAAGTTCTGCTCCTCAATGGAGATTCCATCAGAGCCAGCCTGGGTAGCCTTGGGCCAGCTGCACAGTCCCAGATCGCCCCCTAGAGGAAGGGAAGGGGAAATCACTTCTGAGTACTCTCTACCTAGAAAACCCTGGAAAGCGTCACCATGTCGGAACTGAACTTGAGGGCGCATGATTGTCATTGTTTATTGACAAAAAGTGGAGTCAGGGCACCTTGAGAAAAATGTAAACCACGTCAGGATGTTTTGTTTCCATACAAGAGATAAAAGGCACTTTTTTCATCGACTCCAACATGTACGAAAACTCTGTATGTTGCAAATCTTGTGTTTCATGCACAGCTGTTGTGTTTAACACGAACTAAAAGATGTGAGGAGGCAGGGAAAGGTTTCGTACGAAATGAACTCTTTTAAAAAAAGGTTTAAAATACAGATAGCATTAAAAACCATTCTCTTAATCTCACCTGGTGAGGAGAAAAAAAATCAAAATGCTTCATTGTCAGCAGAAACAATACAATGAGCAAATATTTGCAACCTGAAGCCATTCTGACTGCAATATCATAGGTAGCCCATGTTTCGGAATAAGGGGTGCTCCCTACTCCACATTTTAGGAGGTCTTCATTCGGGACCATAGATCTCCTCTTCATGGGGGGGGGTGACCTCTGAGTCAACCATGACAAAGATGATGACTGTAGCGAGGAAATTACATGACTGAATCTCTCTGTATCCCTAAATAAATAAAGACCTCTGCATGGAATGGCAGACTTCAAGAGTATCCTTCATTTCTTATATATTTTTGGAATACTTTTATGGAAAAAAAATCTATCAGGTTGGCTATATTCTTTTTAAAAAGCTTCAGGTTCTCTCTTGCATGAGTTCTGAAAATGGCCAAATGCTTTAAAAATGAAGTGACACGAATTTTCACTGGCAAAATTCTATAGGTTATGCTTATGGTCAGCATGGGAGAGGATTGTGTTGGAGAGCAGGACACACATATCCACTGGGGATTGGTTCCATGTCCCCCTACACAGAATCTGAAAACAGCAGATAATAGTGAACACACACTAGATAGAGAAATAGAGAGATAGATAGTGATAAAAGGAAAAAATAACCAAAAAATTTTGCATGCATTACCAAAACTGGCCACTAGAGTGTGCAAGGGACCATGCTATGTATTCTTCATTAACTCATGTCCATAGCTTGGTCTCTGCCGCCATCTGATGGCCTGTTATGGCGCTTAACGAGCGCACCGTATAACGATTAAATCTTCTTTTAATATATTTAATATTTACATACCATGGATATGTAAAACCATGGGTACTGACCCATGGATACAAGGGTCTTACTGTGCCTCCCTGTTTGACAGCTGTTAGAGTTGAGGCATGTCTCACAAAAATGTGAGGTAGGAAGCAAAGTGCTGCCTCCATCATGGCCATCCCTTTGATCAACATCACCATCACCACTCCTGCTGTGCTACCTACCTGAAGGCTTGGCTCTGACGGGTCATTTTGGACCCCAGATAATGGGGAGAGATGTCCAGACGAATCACCTGGAACCTGTGGGAACTGCCTCAGAAAGGGCAAAGCCAGCTTCTGTGTCAGCCATCTTGGGCTCCAGGTTCTCCGCCAATTTGAAAACTTCACCCTCAAGGACAAATAGAGTCATCGCTCAGGGCTGTTATGGGTCAACTCCAAACACAGCAGCCCATAAGCCCAATAAGGTCAGAAACAACTGCTGTGGTCTTTGGTGGGCTATTATGCATGTATAGATGAGTCCCTTTTGCCCACTTGCAACTTCTCTTGGTCTTACAGAGACCAAAGCACCCTGGCCTATTGAGCCTTAGATTTGTATGGTGGTGTGCGGAACTCTTCAGAGAAGATATGTGGGAAGAAATTAAATCATCATCATCATTTTCAGGCCAGAATGATGGAGGAATGAAAGTGCCCCTTTGTTGCCAGTGAGAAATGGAAGCATAGGGAAGAAACAGGGGGGTTCTTGACTTGAAAGAAAACGATTCTGTGCCTTGATGAAAATGAATATCGTTTACAAAACATGCTTTAAGAAACATTTCCTTTTGTTTCAATATCCTCCGTTTAGGGTTGCCTGCCTTGGTGGTTGCCATCTCTGTGGGATTCACGAAAGCTAAGGGCTACAGCACCATGAACTAGTGAGTAATCAAGCTTCCTTCCTTCCTTCCTTCCTTCCTTCCTTCCTTCCTTCCTTCCTTCCTTCCTTCCTTCCTTCCTTCCTTCTGTTTTCAGCAACACTTCTTTTAAGATTTATGAGTAATGATCATTGCATACTTGGCCGTGGATGGGCGCTTTGACAGCACCTTGTGCTCACCTCAAAGACAAAGCTCCCCCATTTCTTCTCCAGCCTTGGATAAATATCCAAGCCAGAGAAGAATTCCCAGCTTCCTGCTCATCGGGTGTTCCCAGAAGGTGGAATTCCTTTACAGGGCGGGCTAGGCAGGCCACCTCATTGCTGTCCTCTTGCTGGTAGAAATGGACCATTCTAATCAAATGGGTTTTTAACAACTGACTGGCTGATTAGGATGAGGGTCTTTAATGTTGCTGTACTTTTCCTTCCTCTCTGATGCACTTTGGAAATGTATTTCATTCATTTGCTTTAAAATGATAATCTGTTTAATTATGTTTTAAAATTGGAACTGAAGGTTTTAGTCCCATCTTTTGATTTTGATCGCATTGTAAGGCACTGTGAATCCCAGTGTTTGGAGAAAGATGAGATATATAAATACATTTAGAATCATAGAATAATGGAGTCGGAAGGGACCTCTAAGGCCATTGAGTCCAACCCCTTGCTCAGTGCAGGAATCCAAATCAAAGCAGATCTGACAGTTGGATGTCCAATATTAACTGGAATGCCTCCAGCGCTGGAGCGCTCACTATCTCCTGAGGGAACTAGTTCCATCATCCTACTGCTCTAACAGTTAACAAGTTTTCCCTGGTATTCAGTCTGAATCTGGCTTCCTGTAGCTTGAGCCCATTATTACATGTCCTGTTCTTTGGGAATGATCAAGGACAGATCCTTCCCCTTCTCCGTAGGACTACCTTTCAAGTATTTGAAAAGTGTTTCCTCAAGGCTAAACCTGCCCAGTTCTTTCATTCTTTCCTCACAAGGCTTAGTTTCCAGTTCCTTGACCCTCCTTGTTGCCTTCCTCTGAACTCACACCTGTTTGTCGGCATCCTTCTTAAAGTGCGGTGTCCAGAACTGAACACAGTACTTGAGATGAAAGCCTGAGATATAAAAAAACACTGTCCTCAGACCCCCAAACTGGGTGGGGCAATTACAGAAAGCGTGGCCACATTTTCCAAAAATCATTATTTGAAACTGAGATGATGTGCAGAGGAACATTGTATTTAAACGGATAGCCCTGCCAGCTGGAGGTGTCTAGAGGCATGCCTCTTCATTTTCGTCATGTTTCCTTGACCTAGTTCTCTCCCCAGTCCAGCCCCTTATAGTTGGTCACACATGTTCAAGGAATTACTGTATTTTTTTTGTGTATAAAACGACACCTTTCCCTAAAATAATTACATGGAAGGCGGCAGTAAGAGGCGGAGACTGAGGCAAAGAAGCAGCGAAAATAACTTGAAGGTTGTTTTATACATGGAAGGCGGCAGGAGGAGGAGGAGACTGAGGCAAAGAAGCAGCCAGACTTGATCGCCTCTCGCGGCCGCTCATTGACTGCTTCCACCGCCCGATCGCCCCCTCCAGCCATGGTCTCTTTGTGATTGGGCATCAATGGGCAGCCGCGAGGGGTGACCAAGCCCGGCTGCTTCTTTGCTTCAGTCTCCATCTCATACTGCTACTGCCTCCACCACTGGTTGCGGGCTCAGTGAGCGTGCAGCCCTTTGACCGCTGCTTTTCCCTTCCTTTTGTTAAGCCCCGGGTTTAGGAAATGGCGGGGGAAGCAGCGATCAATTTTTCAAATTTGGGGTTAGAAAAGTGGGGGGGGGTCATCTTGTAAATCAGGTCGTCTTGTAAACAGAAGAATACGGTATATCTCTGCTCCAGTGGTCGTTCGTCCATTAGGTCAGGTGGAATCCCACTCCACCTCCATCTCCGGCTACCCTGCAGCCCTCCATCTCTTGCCTTCCTCCTTCCAAAAGGCAGAAGGTCTCCCTATGGATGCCTGTGTGATTGTCCTCTATGTTTTTGTGAGACCGGACTGTACATGTGTTTCAGTGCTTTTGCAATCATTGGTTGCTGTGCCTTCAACCGCAAGAGAAACCGGCCATAGCATTTTTCTTATTCTCATGGACAAGATAGGACACTGCATTTTTTTTAAAAAAAGTCTCACCTGGGAGATGTGCAGATACTTTTCTGGCTCTGTTGGTTAGAATTCTCCCATTTGCAGGAATAATTTTTCCCACAAGATGCCTAAATTGCCCAGAATTAAATAGATGCTACTTTGTTGTGTGCATATCTTTTTTAAAAAAATCATAAAGCATGGGATGAGTTCCTTGCATCTTTCCAACTAATCAGCCTTTGCTTCTGTGCCTGCCATGCATGAGTCTGTTCGGTTCCCAGAAGGGAAAGGCTGGTTTTGTGGGCAGACATTCTGTGAGCGTTGTAGGACCCAAATAATACAAGGACTCCTTGTCTCATTCTCATGCTGGAGGTGAGACATCTCTCAGGGATCAGCGGCTTCTTGACAAGCTCTCCTGATGTGTTGAGGCAGCCTGTCTCTCCCGAGAATGAGAAATTTTGCAAGGATTTTTCATATGCCGGCACAGATTTGTCAAAGTCAGCTATGGATTCGGTGGGCTTGTAAACATCACACTGAGCTGCGAGTTAAAGCGTGTGATGTAGAGGACAATTCACACGCTGTTGCAGACCCATGGGGCAAGAAGGTCCCATGAAAAGTGGGTGGACTCCACCAGCATTTTTTCTGGGGTGCCACCCGTTTGCCTTAAATATCGCATAAAACCATCTGATCTATGCAGAGTAGAGATGCAGTGGACCACAAGCCAGAAAAACTGACAAACTGAGCTGGTTCATAGTTGGGTTTGTGACTCAGTTCAGGGATCCTGTTCTGCTGAAGCAAGACGGAGTGCCAAACATTTTTCTGCTTTTCGTTTTGCTCGAGCAAAATGGGGGGACCCACCTTTCCCGTTGACCCTGTTAACTCAGCCTCCCTGGTCCTGCCACCTTTGCCTCCTCAACCCCAGCGGGGACCACTGCTATCATCCTCAGAATCAGCAGCAAACATCTGACAGGGGAGCCGGGCCTGCTGCCATCTCTGCGCATGCGCCCACCTATCATCTGGCTGGCCGGCGCATGCACAGAGACAGCAGCAGGCTCTGGGAAACTGCAAAGTAGTTTGTTTGTTTTCAGGTGTTTTTGATTGTTCATGGTTTGTGGTTCATGGGCAGCCACCAACCGATGGTCTTCCGGTTCATCTCTAATGAAGACTTATCATCTGGCCAGCTTCTTGATCTGGTCAACATCTTGAAAATGATCCCATCTATACCATCTGGTGAGAGAGGAAATTGAGTCTGGAACTGTTTGAAAACCAGCCGAGCTATTTCTCAACTCGGGAGCTGGTGGGAGAGGGGAGGAGAGCCTGCCTTCTTTCTAAGACAATGGAATGAGAGAATTAGCAACTCATCCACCCCTAAATGATTGCTTAGGTTAAACAAGAGTAACCTTTTTGGAATTTTACTTTTGGAACTTCGTTAGGAACACCAACCTTAAAAAGAGGCCAGTCGTTGGTCTGTCCAGAAAGAATCGGTGTAACCTTTTTACTGAATCATCATCTGGCAAACAGTCAACCCGCCTTCTGAAAGGTCGTGCTGTTAATGTGCTGGAAGTCACTTAAATAGTTTGAATGTAATTGTGTGTCTATCAACTGGGAAACCTCATCTTCTCATAGATTAACCTCAGTTCTTGCATGGAACATTAGAAGAGATCTTGGTTTGTCACAATTCGACCTGAATTACAAAATCGGTGATCCCTGAAAAAAAGCAGAATTTATTTCCATTAGCATGGATCTGCAGTACCAACCCAAGGCACACAAGCATCCATACACAACTGCTTCCACTTGTTGTCAGACTCTCGGCCCTCGAAGCAACAGGGTAAAAACCAGGCTGCTATTATTAACTCTCTAGCATCTTCTCCACCGTCCCTCTTTTCTCCTTGTCTTTTACTACATTTGCTGTTACAGTCATCAAGAGATCCCACCGTGATTCAGAAAGTAAGATTCCCCACACACAAACACGGCGGTGTAGTAGTACATCATCTGCTCTCCCCACACACACACGCTCATTGAAAGCACGGCGGTGTAGTAGTACATCATCTGCTCATTTATTTTTTACTATTTGTATCCATTGGTAGACTGTCCAAGACAGCCAGCAACAATACAGTCATGCCCCGTTTTACGATTGGCCTGCATTACGACAAAACCGCATTACAACAACATTTTTGCGATCACTTTTGCGATGATCAGTTTCGCTTTGCGATGATCGGTTCCCTGACGGCGGTGTAGTAGTACATCATCTGCTCATTTATTTTTTACTATTTGTATCCATTGGTAGACTGTCCAAGACAGCCAGCAACAATACAGTCATGCCCCGTTTTACGATTGGCCTGCATTACGACAAAACCGCATTACAACAACATTTTTGCGATCACTTTTGCGATGATCAGTTTCGCTTTGCGATGATCGGTTCCCTGCCCTGCGCTAGACTGTCCAAGACAGCCAGGAACAATATCTCTTGGATGTTAAAAATGATACCTGAGACAGTAAGAGAATCATTTCTATCATACCCTTCAATCGGAAAATTCGAATCAAGGTCTATCTCAGTCTGTGGGTCCCCAGATGTTTTTGGACTAAAACTCCCAGAAGCCTTCAGCATTAGCTGTACTGGCTAGGATTTCTGGGAGCTGTAGTCCAAGACCATTTGGGCACTCCAGTTTGGGAGTCATTGGTCTACTGTCTCCAAGAGCAGGATCAGGGACTGGTTTGCTACTCTAACTTGAATGAGAGCACTCAGGTTATCACTGTGAGACCAAACCAGGGGGATGGGGTCAACGGGTGTTAATGTGTTTCAATGGGGTTTTTTATTTTCGCATTACGTTTTCGTTCTACAGCGATTTCGCTGGAACAAATTAACGTCATAATGGGAGGCACCACTATATCTCTTGGATGTTAAAAATGATACCTAAAACAGTAAGAGAATCCTTTTTATCATGCCCTTCAATCAGAAAATTCAAATCAAGGTCTATCTCAATGGTACCCAACTGTGGGTTCCCAGATGTTCTTGGACTAAAACTCCCAGAAGCCTTCAGCATTAGCTGTACTGGCTAGGATTTCTGGGAGCTGTAGTCCAAACGCATTTGGGCACTCCAGTTTGGGAGTCATTGGCCTACTGTCTCCAAGAGCAGGCTCAGGGACTGGTTTGCTACTCTAACTTGAATGAGAGATACAGGTTATCACTGTGAGACCAAACCAGGGGGATGGGGTCATTGGAAGACTCTAATTAGCGAATTTAATTTATTAGCACAGAATGTGGCCATGGCCCTAGGCTTATATGGCTCCAAAAAACCAGGTTTACCTTCACACACCAAGATGGCATGTTTCATGATTCACTGGGATTCTCAGTAGGTCCAAGGTGTAGAAGAGGTTTACATGAAGCTCCGTCCCTAATCCTAACCCAAACTCTAACCCTCCTGCTCAATCACAGACCTTCCCTTCAGTACACTGGGATTCTTATGAGGCTCAAGAATTACCCATAACTCACTCCATGCAATTTTTAAAGCTCATAACACATAACAGTCAAACAAAAGCCATTCAGGATTGAACCTTGGTTAAAAAAGGGAGCAGCTGGTCCATGTGGGAGCAAACAGCAGTGGAGAGGGATCTTTCAGACCATTGGCTCTGCTCCCCTCCAAACAACTGGAAGTTCATCGTTAGAAATAAAAAGCTGACTGAACTCAACATACCTTGGGTCTTACCTGGGAGAGAAGTCGGATTTTTCCTATGTTCCTTCCCGGATGTGTTCTCTAGCCCTTGATGCGAAGAGGGTGAAGACCTCACATTCTACTGGTAAAAAGAAGGGCAAAGTTGGAAAGAGTACAGTCTTAGGGCTTACAAGGGAACATGGAAGTAGTGTTTACTTTGAGGGGATATTTAAGAAGCTATATTCACTTGACCCAAGGCTGACCTCCTTTAGCTTCAAGTCTTTAACCTGGATAATTTCTGTCCTCCAACAATGAGTTTCCTCTGAGCGTAGCTTGTGAGCCCCTAGCCAGCATCAACACAGGCCATGCCTTTGTTCCCAAAAGCAAAGAATTGGCAGGGTTGTGGAGGATGGCAGATGCCATTAGTGACATCCGAAGGGAATGGAGGATGCCTCCCGCTTCTTCAGAATGATGTTTAGGCACCAGGGGTGTCCAGGGAGTGGATTCCCCAATGCTCAGAAAACAGATATGAGAGCCAGCTGAGTAGAACTCACACAGAAGGAAAGAGAATCAATCAAATGCTACATTAGATAGATCTGGGAGAGGACCACGCTCTTGGCCATCTTGTAGTGACCTCTAGAATTCAGATGTTGTGATTTTAATCCCCCAAATACACATGTCTATAGCATCTGCATGCATTGCTATGAATTAAACTGAATGTATCCTTCTCCGGGGAAGGGCAGAATTTGGTGAAACTTCAGACACTGGTGTGGAACGAAAAGCTTTACTGGTCCAACTGAAGGATCAAGAGATCTAGGGGCCATCAGAGGCTGCATTCCCTTGGATCTGAACTTTCTATCCTTCAGCATCTCTCTATCGTTCAACATACCAGTCTTCTCTTCTGCATGCTAAACCTACTAAATGTACCCAATGTGTAGCCTGCATAATTATCTTGTAAACCGCCCAGAGAGTGCTTGAAGCGCTATGGGGTAGTATATAAGCAGCACACTTTGCTTTGCTTTTGCTTTTTAGTTTAACCTGCTGCATGTAAAAAGCAAGAGGTTTTGAATTTATCTCAGAAGGCCAGTCTTCCGTAGGTTCCCTATCTATCTATCTATCTATCTATCTATCTAATCTACTATCTATCTATCTATCTATCTATCTATCTATCTATCTATCTATCTATCTATCTATCTATCTATCTATCTATCTATCTATCTATCTA